ACAAATTTTAAACATTTGAAGGATTACAAAACCAATTTCAAATTAAAGGTACTATACTTGACTACAACAGAGTAATGCTAAATATCCCTAAATCATGGAAAAAAGCAATAAATGCCAGATCTTCTATCACAGCTAACTTATACATAAATAATATTTTGAGAGACTTGTTGATAAGAACAAAGGGCTCCAGAATATTTTATGATAAACTTATAGCTATAAACTAACTTTCCTCTGATGTGTGATAAATGGGTGTGATAAACGCTTTCTTTAATTGTAGATTGTGTACCAATGATGTTAAACTAATAGATTTCCAGTACAGATTCATAAATTGAGCTTTATATACCAAAAAGGAATTATGGAAAATGAAGTTAATAGATGATGATATATGCTCATTTTATGTCTCTGAATCTGAAACTTATACCATGTGTATGTAGAGTGTGTTTTTGTAAAGGAATTTTGGTTAGAAATTGAAATGTACCTTGACCCGAAACTTGCTTATGATATTCATATTACCATTCTGGATAAGTTATTTTGCTACGACAAAAACAACTACCTATTCAACCACATAATTCTTCTTGCAAAAAATGCATTCACCAGTCAAGCACTAAGAAAACTCCATTATGCTTTCCTTTTTTCATAAAATGTTGAAAGATGTATGTAAAATAGAAAAATTCTTCGCAATGAAAATAGTAGTATTAAGAGATTCGACAGAAAATGGATGGAATTATCAGCCTACTTATTATTATTTCTCAGTCAATCAATAGATGTACTTACCAATATCTGATCATGTTTTAAGATTCTATGAATAGCTACATGTATACACCTCATGTACCAATGTTACATATATGTCTACTGAATTGAAATAAAAATATTTAAAAACAAAACAAAAACACTTTCTTATAATTTCAGACTCTTTAAGCTCCATAACAAAATTTCAAAATAAATACTTAAAAACCTGACTAGACTTAAAAACAACATGATTAAACTAACTTCAGAATTAAGATCAGATAAATCAGTTGATCTACCATAGATACCTAGCCACTCAAACATACCAGGTAATGACTCCGCTGACACAGCAGCCAAATAAGCAATGATAAATCCATCCCCCAAATTAAACTTTTCCACCTCTCTAAGCCAAAGCATTAAAAATCTAAATTTTCAATCACTTATTAAAAATTATAACTCCAACTGGAGAAAATCCCTTTTCACCAAACCTCTAATACCTGTTAGTATTAGAGATATGGTTAGAACAAACACATACACCACTATCAACAATCAGTCAAACTTTTTGCCTTGGAAACAGGAACTTTTTCTTTTTAAATTCAAAAATAGCAAAAAGCACCACTTCAGCCCTTGATTAATACATGTACCAGGTCTACATGAAAAGTCTTTCACAGTTTTCAAGTTGTGCTCTGGACAAGACACCTATCCCCACCTTTTGACACTAACTCAAAATTGGTTCCACGGAAATCAAGAAAATGAAAAATGCCCCAAATCTGTAAAATAGCAAAGGGCACCTCTTTGGAATCTGTTTGATATATCTCCCCTGCCAAGTTTTGTTAAAAGATTTTGAATGGTTTTCCAGTTACGCTCTGGAAATGAAATGATTACTGATGGACATACGGACAGACAGACAGACGAAGCGTCGACCATATCCGCCGCATCATATGCCAGGGGGATAACAAGAGGTACAGATCATGTTGTTTTAGTTTCGTTTCTCTTCACTTTCATCTCCAGTATTTTGATGGCAATTTAGAGTCAAGTTTGATATATTTCATGAGAAATAAGAATTTGGTTTTCTTTACTCAAAATGGAGAAGGAAATGTATAGTTATAAAATGCTTATCATGGAATCTTTAAACTATGACAAATCCAAAGAAAGTTGAATTCTTCACGTGGCAGAAAGGCGGTAGGCAAGTCCTCTTGCATGGCTTCAGATACAGACTCAACAACCAGCGACTAACTTGTGTACACTGGAAAAATGTACAGCGCCAAGGATAAGTCAACACTGCAGTGTCAACTCAATGCAGTTTATTCTGCAACCATAACATCGACAGAAAAACCGGAAGGCCCGGTTCAACCAAAAGTTGGAATAATCAAAAGCGAACGCGGATGCATGTAATGGCACAGGGTGGCTGCCTTGGCAAGTGTGCCCCAATGGGTCGGTACCAAGTTAGCTCAGATGGTTCATGGTGCCCGCCTCAATCCCTTAAGAGGACTTACACTGAGATGGACCAGAGGTTGCGGACAAATTCATAGCAGGATTAAGACTCCCCTTGAATTCCTTAGTGATGCTGGACAACCAAATAACTCTATTGACACGCGACTTTAAAGATAGGTATTAAAGTGACAATACAGTGAGACATATTTTATATAATATATATCTACATTTTTAACTTGTAATGATAACTTAATACTAAGAACCATAACAATTTGGAACGTGAACACACAATGATATTTAGAATGTAGCAAATGTTATATTTGGAATAACACTTTCTAAGCCTCGGTGGCTGAGTGGGTTAGATCACTGAGTTTGTGAGCTTGCGATTAGGTGCCTTACTCTATTTGTCAAAATAATTATGATCTCTAGAGGGGCATTACTGCCATCAATCATCTAAACTGTGACTTGACTTTCAGTGCATATCTTTATTTATTATGATTATTTATTCTGAACTTTATTTTGTCATGGTCACTGGACAAATGCCTTATGGGTGACCTCTATTGTGCTGACCTGTCTTGTGTGAGAGGTTAACATGCAGAATATATACAATGATGTGAAAACCTTTAATTTTACTATATTTATTATGCCTGTTTGGCATTATTTTTTTATAAGATTTGAAAATCTATACTGCATCCACATTTCATACAACACAAGTGCATTTGTTAGGCGCTGTTTTCCATCCACTCTGTGGTTGCTCAAACCACACTTATCAGCCGTTCAGTGGATCAGCTTGCACTTAACAATCATACCCAGCTCCCTAGGGAGTATACAACCCAAATTGCTTTGAGGCACTAGCAGGTTAACCGTCACATTGACATCTCATCCTACCGGGTACCCATTCACTGCTGGGTGAACAAAGGCACATTTCAAACAGTCACTTGCCCAAGGGGACACCACAAATGTTAAATGTACTTCAGAGTTAGGCAGTACCAAAGTCCAAGAAAATCTCAGCAGCCAAGCTGCTGAACAAAGTCCATCCAACTACTCCCCACAACCAGTGTAGCTTAACTTGACATGATTTGTGACCTGTGCGCTGTGCACAGGACCACATGCCACCAGCTCATGCATTCTGATACAGATATGATAAATGATCCATAATTCTTATATTAAAACAACTATCTTGACAACTTACTTTGCAGACTCTGAGTTTCTATCCAAATTGATCCTTTGAAAGTTTTTGATGGGAGTAGGTATTGTACAGTATCAACAGAGAATCAGGGCATTTAATTGTAAGGTTCTTTGTACAAAGAGCAGAAAGTATTTAAACACAGACTACATCTATATTATGTTACCTAGTTCATCTGTACTTCCAGCACGAGGGGGATACAGCTGCCTAGTATAGGAAGTCCCAATTACAAGATTCATATTATTAACATCATATTTAATGATATAATGTAATATATATTACAAAAACATGGTTAAACTCTCATATTTTAAATGAAGAAATTACTACCAGGTTTCCGCAGTGCATTTACTCCAGATATATCTACAAGGGTCGCGGGGGTTGCCATCTATATTAATGACAAGTTATTTACTAAATGCATGGATATTATTAATAGTTATTAATAGGACTCAAGACATTTTGGATGAAAATCACTTGTAAGAAGGACCACCTGTTGATCTGTGATAGGGATGTTGTAACATACTTAAAGCAGTCAATGCTGGGGCTTGATTGATATGTTAATAGGTATTGATTCAATACTTGCAGGTAATATTAATATAGATTACCTTAGTATCTTAAACCACTAGAATATTTGCAGGCAACTTTTGGTCTTCATCAAATTATTATTGAACCCACAAGGATTACTCAGCACCCCTGAACATTTATTAGTATTTTACTCTTCAGGTGTTCTTGGGCCTGTGAGTGGCGACCATTGTCTCGTACATGGTAATCTGATTAACACTAAACCCCCTGACCTGAGTTTTACAAGAAAGATGTATTACAAGTTTGCTTGACAAGGTGAAATTAATGAGGTATTTGTGTAAGTATAACTGTATGCTCACCCTACTGAAGGTGCCAGATACACCAACAATATCCTTAGCCACAATTACCTTAAGTCACTCACTCACTCACTCACTCACTCACTCACTCACTCAAGAATATCAGTGAAGTACCAATCCAATCCAGTTAAATCAGAACAGAGCTGTTAAGTCTTATGAACTGTGGAATAACTGAGTTAAAGCCTTGGCAAGTTTACTCACAGTGCAACATTGTTTCTACAGTGAAGAACATTTAAGAGTCTCCAAACAGTGAGTTGGTATGAACTTGTTTCTCTGTAGAACACTGTGCCAGTTAGTACCACTATGAGCAGTTCAACACAGGGTTGGTGGTGTTGTTGTTGTTGTTGTTGTTGTGCAATAGGTAGTTGACAATGGCCCAAAAGCCGCAGATGAGCTGCCTCCTTTAAATGATTGCATCTTACAAGACGGCATAATATGACATTGACATTGAACAAGAGGACAAATGGCAGTGGTTGGTTCCATGATGGTGTGTTTGATATTTAAAAACAATCCACAACATTATTTTTGATTAATGGTGGTGAAATATTAATTTATTTTTTTATCTCTTTGTAATGACGTGTCAATGTTGTTTTATTCCAGTGTGGACGACATTCTGAAGAAATGTTTGTGACATGCCGACAACACCGTTGTTTAATTGGGCGTGGCAGAAAGAGTGAACAGAAACTGAAGCTCTCTCGCGTGATGAAGTATTTTTGGATTTGCTGCAAAGACAATTTACCTTTGCATGTGCTGCTCAATGCAACCTCAATATATCTTACCTACACTGTGTGAAAAGAACTCTTCATATTCCTCACTGGGCTGATAAGCAATCGGCGACTTTAGGTGACAGGCGCAAGGGAGCAATGGCTTCATGGAAGTCGTACAATTCTGAATTGAAGGAAATGAACGCAATAGGACGTTGGCAGCGTTATGATGGTCCCCGAAGAGACAAATAAATATATGTTAGGAAAACACGCTAAGGACCCAGACCTATGTAAATAGCACGTAGGCTAGTAGCAAAGCAGTTTTGTGAAATGTTGTGAAAGGAATTCTCCCAGACGTGGCGTATTGGTGGGCCGTCGTTGATAAAGACTAGTTCCAAAAAAATGAAAACGATGGTTGCCCATTTTTGGATCGTCAGTAGTGTATGCAACATTCTGTCGAACTATCCATCGGTGGTTATTTGTCCAAACTGTCTACAGTCGCGACGCGGTGCTGTGCGAAAGTTTGCACTATTTTCTCTTTTCTGGGGACCATCACCAACATTCTCTTGACTATTTATTTGTTCCAATAAATGTTTAAAGGTGTTGAATGAGGGCCATTTAAAGTGATATTCATTGCTTGTGTGAGACGGTGGTAAGACATAAGGGCGAGGACGAACTAAACAGCAAGGTGTGAAAAAATCCATAAAGAAAACAAAGGTTTCATTGCTTGTCTTCGAGTTTAGAACATTGGACGTATGAAACACAAGGTCCAAAGTTCATCTGCTGCCGAACTTATCAGGTCTTTCTTCTAATAAGGTATACCTCATACCCGGGCGCAGCATAACAAGTATGTTTGATTGGTGTAAATGCTGTTCGGACATAGACATAGACATAGACATAGACATACACACACATTTATTTCAGTAACGTAAAGCCTCAGGCCCATAATACAATTGAATAGTTTTTTCCCCAAGCATTCTGGTATACGAAGAGTTGGTACAATATGTTTTAAAAAGTTCAGGAACATTGTTCACAGATATACAGTATTAAATTTATAATACAGGATATCAATAGACTTTTGCACTGTACACAATTATCGCCCGAGGCACAGTAGCAGTAGTATCTGTATTGCTAAAATAACTTCACAAGCCATTCATGTAACAATTTAGGCTCTCGGTAAACGGTTTGATGTGATTGAAAACAATATCGTAGCATGTGCAGACCGGAATAACATTGAACTAATCCTCGCCATATGAAATGTTATGTGAGCAATGGGAGTATTTCAATACCTAATGTATGCGGCGATTTGACATTTTTGGTCGAAAATGCGCCTAAGACTAACACCTGGCGCTCAAATGCCACTCGGATGTCAAAGTTGTCGCAGCGCATTGAAATTTTGCATGCGGGTAGACCTTGACCTGGAGGTCACGTTTCCACCGTTCTTGACCCCAGATCACCTCTGTGAGCGGAGCTATGGGCTCCATTATCCAACTGTAACATTGGCTCCAAAGTGAAAAATGTTTCGTTGAGAATGCTCCATTTGACCTAAGGAGTCGTCCTGCAAAGTCTGAGACTCCTACGGCGATTTGACATTTTTGGTCGAAAATGCGCCTAAGACTAACACCTGGCGCTCAAATGCCACTCGGATGTCAAAGTTGTCGCAGCGCATTGAAATTTTGCATGCGGGTAGACCTTGACCTGGAGGTCACGTTTCCACCGTTCTTGACCCCAGATCACCTCTGTGAGCGGAGCTATGGGCTCCATTATCCAACTGTAACATTGGCTCCAAAGTGAAAAATGTTTCGTTGAGAATGCTCCATTTGACCTAAGGAGTCGTCCTGCAAAGTCTGAGACTCCTACGGCGATTTGACATTTTTGGTCGAAAATGCGCCTAAGACTAACACCTGGCGCTCAAATGCCACTCGGATGTCAAAGTTGTCGCAGCGCATTGAAATTTTGCATGCGGGTAGACCTTGACCTGGAGGTCACGTTTCCACCGTTCTTGACCCCAGATCACCTCTGTGAGCGGAGCTATGGGCTCCATTATCCAACTGTAACATTGGCTCCAAAGTGAAAAATGTTTCGTTGAGAATGCTCCATTTGACCTAAGGAGTCGTCCTGCAAAGTCTGAGACTCCTACGGCGATTTGACATTTTTGGTCGAAAATGCGCCTAAGACTAACACCTGGCGCTCAAATGCCACTCGGATGTCAAAGTTGTCGCAGCGCATTGAAATTTTGCATGCGGGTAGACCTTGACCTGGAGGTCACGTTTCCACCGTTCTTGACCCCAGATCACCTCTGTGAGCGGAGCTATGGGCTCCATTATCCAACTGTAACATTGGCTCCAAAGTGAAAAATGTTTCGTTGAGAATGCTCCATTTGACCTAAGGAGTCGTCCTGCAAAGTCTGAGACTCCTACGGCGATTTGACATTTTTGGTCGAAAATGCGCCTAAGACTAACACCTGGCGCTCAAATGCCACTCGGATGTCAAAGTTGTCGCAGCGCATTGAAATTTTGCATGCGGGTAGACCTTGACCTGGAGGTCACGTTTCCACCGTTCTTGACCCCAGATCACCTCTGTGAGCGGAGCTATGGGCTCCATTATCCAACTGTAACATTGGCTCCAAAGTGAAAAATGTTTCGTTGAGAATGCTCCATTTGACCTAAGGAGTCGTCCTGCAAAGTCTGAGACTCCTACGGCGATTTGACATTTTTGGTCGAAAATGCGCCTAAGACTAACACCTGGCGCTCAAATGCCACTCGGATGTCAAAGTTGTCGCAGCGCATTGAAATTTTGCATGCGGGTAGACCTTGACCTGGAGGTCACGTTTCCACCGTTCTTGACCCCAGATCACCTCTGTGAGCGGAGCTATGGGCTCCATTATCCAACTGTAACATTGGCTCCAAAGTGAAAAATGTTTCGTTGAGAATGCTCCATTTGACCTAAGGAGTCGTCCTGCAAAGTCTGAGACTCCTACGGCGATTTGACATTTTTGGTCGAAAATGCGCCTAAGACTAACACCTGGCGCTCAAATGCCACTCGGATGTCAAAGTTGTCGCAGCGCATTGAAATTTTGCATGCGGGTAGACCTTGACCTGGAGGTCACGTTTCCACCGTTCTTGACCCCAGATCACCTCTGTGAGCGGAGCTATGGGCTCCATTATCCAACTGTAACATTGGCTCCAAAGTGAAAAATGTTTCGTTGAGAATGCTCCATTTGACCTAAGGAGTCGTCCTGCAAAGTCTGAGACTCCTACGGCGATTTGACATTTTTGGTCGAAAATGCGCCTAAGACTAACACCTGGCGCTCAAATGCCACTCGGATGTCAAAGTTGTCGCAGCGCATTGAAATTTTGCATGCGGGTAGACCTTGACCTGGAGGTCACGTTTCCACCGTTCTTGACCCCAGATCACCTCTGTGAGCGGAGCTATGGGCTCCATTATCCAACTGTAACATTGGCTCCAAAGTGAAAAATGTTTCGTTGAGAATGCTCCATTTGACCTAAGGAGTCGTCCTGCAAAGTCTGAGACTCCTACGGCGATTTGACATTTTTGGTCGAAAATGCGCCTAAGACTAACACCTGGCGCTCAAATGCCACTCGGATGTCAAAGTTGTCGCAGCGCATTGAAATTTTGCATGCGGGTAGACCTTGACCTGGAGGTCACGTTTCCACCGTTCTTGACCCCAGATCACCTCTGTGAGCGGAGCTATGGGCTCCATTATCCAACTGTAACATTGGCTCCAAAGTGAAAAATGTTTCGTTGAGAATGCTCCATTTGACCTAAGGAGTCGTCCTGCAAAGTCTGAGACTCCTACGGCGATTTGACATTTTTGGTCGAAAATGCGCCTAAGACTAACACCTGGCGCTCAAATGCCACTCGGATGTCAAAGTTGTCGCAGCGCATTGAAATTTTGCATGCGGGTAGACCTTGACCTGGAGGTCACGTTTCCACCGTTCTTGACCCCAGATCACCTCTGTGAGCGGAGCTATGGGCTCCATTATCCAACTGTAACATTGGCTCCAAAGTGAAAAATGTTTCGTTGAGAATGCTCCATTTGACCTAAGGAGTCGTCCTGCAAAGTCTGAGACTCCTACGGCGATTTGACATTTTTGGTCGAAAATGCGCCTAAGACTAACACCTGGCGCTCAAATGCCACTCGGATGTCAAAGTTGTCGCAGCGCATTGAAATTTTGCATGCGGGTAGACCTTGACCTGGAGGTCACGTTTCCACCGTTCTTGACCCCAGATCACCTCTGTGAGCGGAGCTATGGGCTCCATTATCCAACTGTAACATTGGCTCCAAAGTGAAAAATGTTTCGTTGAGAATGCTCCATTTGACCTAAGGAGTCGTCCTGCAAAGTCTGAGACTCCTACGGCGATTTGACATTTTTGGTCGAAAATGCGCCTAAGACTAACACCTGGCGCTCAAATGCCACTCGGATGTCAAAGTTGTCGCAGCGCATTGAAATTTTGCATGCGGGTAGACCTTGACCTGGAGGTCACGTTTCCACCGTTCTTGACCCCAGATCACCTCTGTGAGCGGAGCTATGGGCTCCATTATCCAACTGTAACATTGGCTCCAAAGTGAAAAATGTTTCGTTGAGAATGCTCCATTTGACCTAAGGAGTCGTCCTGCAAAGTCTGAGACTCCTACGGCGATTTGACATTTTTGGTCGAAAATGCGCCTAAGACTAACACCTGGCGCTCAAATGCCACTCGGATGTCAAAGTTGTCGCAGCGCATTGAAATTTTGCATGCGGGTAGACCTTGACCTGGAGGTCACGTTTCCACCGTTCTTGACCCCAGATCACCTCTGTGAGCGGAGCTATGGGCTCCATTATCCAACTGTAACATTGGCTCCAAAGTGAAAAATGTTTCGTTGAGAATGCTCCATTTGACCTAAGGAGTCGTCCTGCAAAGTCTGAGACTCCTACGGCGATTTGACATTTTTGGTCGAAAATGCGCCTAAGACTAACACCTGGCGCTCAAATGCCACTCGGATGTCAAAGTTGTCGCAGCGCATTGAAATTTTGCATGCGGGTAGACCTTGACCTGGAGGTCACGTTTCCACCGTTCTTGACCCCAGATCACCTCTGTGAGCGGAGCTATGGGCTCCATTATCCAACTGTAACA